GAAGTGACAATCACTTCCAGGTTCAACAAATGATAATTGAAAACTTGTGACCGCCAAAATAATGTTCATATTAACCATTTGTCTTTCTGTGTTCAGTTTTTATTCCTTAATAGACCTAGAGCAAAATACCCACTTACACAAAGCCACTGATAATAGAAAAGTAAAGCCCCCAAAACAGAGAGATTTATTAATTAAACTATATGTTTTAAGAAGATGGGCTCAAAGCAAATATGCAAACAAATTTTAAATTGTTAGAATATTATAAACTATAGTGAATCATGACTTTGTACAGTATGTTAGTGCATTATTATGACCCAATAAGAAAGCTCCTGTAGTTCTTGTGATCTTAAAGACGAATTTGTGAGGAAGATTATGTTGCGTAATTTCTAAATATTGCAAAAGAGTAGTTTTCCCGATCTGCGTTTTGTCTGCAGCTAATCAAGCTAACTATGCTACATTAATCTAATTATGCTAATTATTATATGTAATTATATTTCCTGAACCTTTATAATGACTAGTTTTCCATTGAGCTACCTCTGTATGTGGTTGCCCAACATCATAAGCTATTGGTTTTTTAATGTGTAATTTATGCTAAAGAAAAATATAAATACTCTTTTCCCTTTGTCTGTTTTCTGTTTCCTCCGCAAACAATGTACAGGACTGTGATCTCCTGCCAAACTGCAACCCAGCTGATAAAAGATCCTTTCGATAGTGTCCGCAACCATAAAAGAACCTCCATTCTTCACATGTTAATGTATGTTTGTGCATGTGTTGCAAAGAAGTGTTTTAATTCATGTGGCCAATAAGGATGCCATTTGATTGTTTCATTGTTATTGCCCTGTTATAGCTTTGTAATGCAATTTAAAAGATGAATATATATTCTGTAATTCATTGTCTCATTGCTTATTATTGTTGTAACGAAAGAGTTAGTCATCCTTGTGTTTTTTCTCACAAAACTCTAACTAACTGTTAGTTAATCAGACTAATGAGTTCATGCACTGCAGTATAAACCATATGGTTCAATTGAGTAACGCTGGCGCGCTATGGCAGCCGCTGCTCAAAGAACAAACGCCGCTTGTCGTGGACCAGGACAGTGTCCTGGTCAGCGTGGCCCGATCGGCTCAGCCCGCGGCAGCCAAGAACAGCTTCCACCCCCGTCACCTACTGGACTCCTCAACGTGGCTCCCTCACCAACCAAGGGCCACAGGTCCCGTTATGACCTCGTCGACCGTAAGCTGGAACTTCTTGTGTTTAGACCGAAACCTGGCGCAGCCCAATGACGTTTGCCGCGTTGAACGACTCCACACCACAGGGGTTTGTATACAATGCCATCCCCGCCCCGCAGCTGGGCCGCCGGGGCGGAGGTCTCGCGATGCTTCAACAGCGAGACTTTGGAAAGTTCCACCTGTGCCTGCTGCCCCTTCTTCTCCTCCTTCCGAGTAATCCTGCCTCACTGCTGCCTGGACATTCTCCTACTGTGTTGCCACCATCTCCCGCCCGCCAAAACTTAATAAGGACATTTTAGATGACTTTTTCTCACCTTCTAACAACACTTCACATCTATCTACTCATAACGCAGTCATACTTGGGGACTCTCAACATTCACATGGACAATAATAGAACCCTCTCACCAAAGACTTCTCCCCTCCTGTTTAGATAGTTTTTGGTTTTACAACAACACATTCATAACCCACCCACACTAAAGGACACATATATGGACTAATCTGCTTGCTCTGGTCTCACTCCCACTGATGTAAACCACACCACCCATACACAGACCATAAGCACCATCACTATCAATATCAACCTCACCCACACCAAACATCCAACCCCGACCATTTCTATCCGTAAAAATTCAGGACAAAAACACTGCCACCTTCGCCTCAATATCATAACCTCCCCACTACTGATCCACAATTACTCCCCCGATGACACTGGTCCTCCCATCTACAACACTTCTCTCCTTAACCTCCTTACAATCAAGCCCTCTCAAAACCCGACCCGACTCTTTCACGCTCACAGCACCCGGTACACCCACTTCCCTCGTCACACAAATCCCAATGACTTCAACTTGAACGGCTCTTCATAAAAACTGACTCACCATTCACAAACAAATGTACAATAACCACATCATGCTATACAAGGACCATCTCTCTGCTGCCAAATCCACCTACTAACTCCCGGTTTAATCCCCCACACATCAAAACTCCCAAAACTCACTTCTCTCTTCTCACCAATATAACTCAAACCCCCTGACTCCTCCTCACCATATGCAATTCCACTGACTTCTGTAACACTCACTCATTTCCTTCTTTACCTCCAACACTCAGCCATCCACCAACACCTGACCCTCACATGGAGCTGCAGTCTCAGGAGTGGGACCCCACCACCCCCCTACTCATCCCTCATACCCATTCTCCAGCTTCAACTTGCCTCCGTCCAAGCCAACTCCGACTTTATCTTAAATCCAAACCTTCTACCTCTCCCTCGACCCTCACCCTACCGTTTCTGGTCAAATCCTTCTCCCCACAGCTGCCCTCCTCATCACAATATCATCACTCATCACTCACTTCTGTACAGTCCCTCTCTCATACAAAACCGCCTCAGTCTACACCCATTCTCAAAAAACCGGCCTGCGAATCCCAACCAACATCAACTACCTCGTCCCATCTCAAACCTTTCCCTTTCATCTCCAAAATACTGAAAATCTTCGCTGCTCCAAATCCACAACCACCACACACCAACAACATCTACGAACAATATTCAGTCAGGTTTCCGTCCCCTTCCACACACCGAAACAGCTCATCTAAAAATCACTAACGATCTCCTCATAGCCTCTGACTCCGGTTTACTCTCCATCCTCATCCTTCTGGACCTCAACTGCAGCTTTGACACCATTTCTCACTCCACCCACCTGAACAGACTCTCCTCCATAGCAACACCCACACCCCCCTCGCCGTTCACCTCCTATCTTTCTGTCGCTCACAGTTTTCATTCATCTCATATCCCACAAATCCCAGCACTTTCCTGTCTCTGCTGGGTCCCCCAGGGCTCTGTCCTGGTGGGCGGCCCCTCCTCTTTCATCATCTATATTCTACCCACTCGTGTCACAATCCTCCGCCGTCACAACATTTTTTTTTTTCACTTCCACTGCTACCGCGGATGACACCCATACTCCATGACTTGAGGGAGGGGAGGACAGATGTGGTTATGTAAGGAGAAATGAGAAGACTGGTAGATTTGAAGAGAGTGAGAGGGGTGCCTATGAGAAGGACTTCAGTTTTTTTGAGCTAATGAGTTTTGAGAAGTTGGAAGAGAACTCAGAATGAATTCTATTAGACAAGAGGGTGAGGGAGCGAAATGGATGGGAGAGAGGAAGATGGTTTAGAGCGGAGAGGTAGAGCTGGGTGTCCATCCGCGTAGCATGGAAGAGAATGTTGAGACGGCGTTAGGATGTGACCGATTGGAGAATATAGATGATGAGAGGAGGGGCCCCAGGACAGAGCCCTGGGACAACAGCAGAGTCAGGACAAAGTGCGGATTGTGGGATTTGAGATGAATGAACTGTGAGCGACCAGAAAGATAGGAGGTGAATCCAGCCGAGGGGGGTGTGGGTGATGCCGATGGAGACGAGTCTGTTCAGGAGGTGGGAGTGAGAAATTGTGTCAAAAGCTGAGTGAGGTCCAGAATGATGAGGATGGAGAGTAAACCCGGAGTCAGAGGCTATGAGGAGATCGTTAGTGATTTTTAGAATAGCTGTTCGGTGCTCGTGGAGGGGACAAACCAGAATGAAAATGTTTCGTCAAGATGTGTTGGAGGTGATGTGTTTGGAGTTGAGCAGCCGACAGATATTTCAAGTATTTGGAGAGAATGGAAGGATTGAATGGGACCGGAGGTTTGTTGAAGTTGTTGGAATCCAGGCCAGGTTTTTTTGAGAATGGGTGAGACTTGAGGCGGTTTTGAATGAGAGAGGACAGTACCATAAGTGAGAGATGAGTGAATGAAATTAGTGATGAAGGGGGCAGATGAGGGGAGGCAGGATTTGACCAGAACGGTAGGGAGAGGTCGAGCTTGAGGTAGAAGGTTGGATTAAATGATAAAGTCGAGATGCCTGGACGGAGGGGCAAGATTGAAGCTGGAGAATTTGGCTATGAGGGATGAGTAGGGGGCTGGGGGGGGGTACCCACACGAGACCAGAGACTGCAGCTCCATGTGGGGGTCAGGTGTTGGGTGAATGTCAGAGATCTTGGAGTAAAGAAGGAAAGATGAGTTACAGAGTTCAGTGGATAGCATAAGGTGATGGAGGGATTCAGTGGGTTTGGTTATATTGGTGTATGAAGAGAGAAATGTTTTGTCAATTTATTTATTTTTATACTTGCAATATTCTATTTTAACTTTTAGAACTTTTCACCGAGAGCCAAAGACATTTCCGAGTATGTGACTTCCTGTTACTATTTCTGTTTTTTAAATCCCTTTGTTTTGCATATTTACAGGATATAGGATAGTTTCCAAAGTGCTGCACGATACATTTCTAATTAAAACAAATCCAACAGTAAAATCCTTACAAATCCATTAGGAAAAACCGTGTGTGCATATATGTATAAATATAACAATAAAACTAAATGAAAAAAGTGAAGTAATATAAAAAGACCAAACAACTCAACGCCCAAGCATAAAAATGGGTCTGAAATATAAAAAGTAATGTTTTAAAAAGCACAGAATCAGTTGTTCTTTATCTGCAGCCTGAATGTTCCCAGACCCAGTCTCTTCTTCCCTGAATCTGCAGAAACTGCTTCCTGCACGAGACTTAAACATCTATATATATCTATATATTATATATATATATATATATTATTATTTATATATATATATAATCCTGCATAAACATAAATCGTGCATTAATATTTCACAGCATTTAACTTTCCATGCAGTGGTGATTCTCTCCATGTCAAATGTGACGTGTACATTTCTCCATCAGAGATCAATAACTCTAATCTGAGTCAGTTTGTGTTGACACTGTGTAGAGCAGTGCATTGTTTACGCCCACTTCCTGTTTCTTTATGATCGCTGAGCTCGTTACACATGCGGCTCATTGGAGGTTTGTCTCGGTGGTTCTCGTAGATGTTTGTGTCTCGGTGGTTCTCGTAGATGTTTGTGTCTCGGTGGTTCTCGTAGACGTTTGTGTCTCGGTGGTTCTCGTAGACGTTTGTGTCTCGGTGGTTCTCGTAGACGTTTGTGTCTCGGTGGTTCTCGTAGATGTTTGTGTCTCGGTGGTTCTCGTAGACGTTTGTGTCTCGGTGGTTCTCATAGACGTTTGTGTCTCGGTGGTTCTCGGTAGATGTTTGTGTCTCGGTGGTTCTCGTAGATGTTTGTGTCTCGGTGGTTCTCGTAGACGTTTGTGTCTCGGTGGTTCTCGTAGACGTTTGTGTCTCGGTGGTTCTCATAGACGTTTGTGTCTCGGTGGTTCTCGTAGATGTTTGTGTCTCGGTGGTTCTCGTAGATGTTTGTGTCTCGGTGGTTCTCGTAGATGTTTGTGTCTCGGTGGTTCTCGTAGATGTTTGTGTCGAGTGTGAGGCTTGGGCTGACGGCTGTAATGGTTCGATGTCACCGCTCGTTGTGGACTCGCCGTGGACCCGCTGTGGACTCGCTAACCGCTCTTTTTGTGTTAGCTCTTTATAGCTTTGCATCTAGAACCTTTGGAACACCTACAGCCGACATGTTCCTGAGCCACGCACGTTAAACATGTGTGTTCATGTATGATGCATATTAATGAGCGATAAACAGATATGAAGGATAACAGGTACAGAGCTTCCATCAGGGTTCTGTCGACACATACATCAGTTACTACATTAATTGTGACATCTCATCTGGCGCCGAACCCAAAAGTGACGCCTGCATATAGCCCATTCAGCACATCCAATCAGGGAGCAGTGGGGGCGGGACTAACTGAAAAGCATCCTTCCATCTTCCCAGTGTAAAAACTGACCGTCACTTTATTTGAGGAAATAACTCATGATTTTGACAATTTGTGCTAATATTTTAAAGGATCTCCATGAAGTGTTGATACCATTGATCATATCTTGATATATTCCCCTTAAACGCCAGCATATTTTATAACATTCATTTGGAGAAGCTGCCGGCTGGTTGAAAATAAGAAAAATAAAAAAACAAAACTCTGGAGGATCTCTACAAGACAGAAAACCAAAGCAAACAGATGTTCCGTCTCCAGCCTGGACCCAAACAGACAGAATGTAGAGAAAGCTCAGGGAAAGACGGAGGATAGTAAACTGTGGGATTTGGCCCGACGAGAGGCCTGTGCAGCTACAGTATTGTAAACCACTGCAGAGGGCATAAAAATGAAATATTCTTTCCCGATCAATAATTATAGCGCTGGTGTTTTCCAAGCAGTGTGATTGACCGCGGCGGCGGGACTTTCAGAGCTCTATGGTAAAAAGACACAGACTTCCTAGTAATTGTGAAATCTAATCCATCCGGTCCTAGGAAGCTCCAGTAAGTGTTGGTTTTCCAGCAGGAGCGCATTACAGCGATCGAATGGGGGAAATTTCATATCCTCCGGCGTGTAGTGTAATTGCAGGAAGCTATATGAATCCAAAAGTTAAAGGTTACAAGTAACAAAAAAGGCAATTAGCTTCCTTCCCCCGATTTAGAGCAGAGAGATTCCCGGGAGGCTTGGTAAACAAACAGAAAGGGCCAGTACTTCCTTGTCACATACATATTCAGGGCTACTGCAAATGTGGAACGTCTATTCAGAGCGTCAATGGGTGCAAATGAAGCAGAAAGTCGAGCACAAGATGTCAGCTGCCGTGAATCACTATTATTTCATCTTGGCAGCGTCGCACTCCACTGCTCTCACCTCAATCGCTCGACTTTCACCACTAATGGTTTGGATAGAGACGTATGGGTCCAAACCAGGCCAGACCCCAAACCTATTAGAAGAAACTGTTGGTAACTTCTAACTTTATCCATACATCACTGTACGCTTATTTCATATTACAGCTGGGATACATAACTGTTTACTCAAAACCAATGTTGTTTGTCCAAGTAGAAAGATTCTTTGGAGCACGACTACTTTCAGACAAAAGGTAAAAGGGTTGAGTACACAGCGTCTTCTATAAGAGAAGCCCCTGGTCTAATTTCACTTAAAGGGCACCTACAACAGTGGTTAAGGTCATCTCAAACCTGTGCACACAGTCGATTATAATGTAGGATCTGAAAAATGTGTGGAAATGGGTCGAGTGCAATAATGGTCGACTATAATGTGTGCAATAACGGGGTGTGTGCAATAACAGGGTGTGTGCAATAACGGGGTGTGTGCAATAACGGGGTGTGTGCAATAACAGGGTGTGTGCAATAACAGGGTGTGTGCAATAACAGGGTGTGTGCAATAACGGGGTGTGTGCAATAACAGGGTGTGTGCAATAACAGCGTGTGTGCAATAACGGGGTGTGTGCAATAACAGGGTGTGTGCAATAACAGGGTGTGTGCAATAACAGGGTGTGTGCAATAACGGGGTGTGTGCAATAACAGGGTGTGTGCAATAACAGGGTGTGTGCAATAACGGGGTGTGTGCAATAACGGGGTGTGTGCAATAACAGGGTGTGTGCAATAACAGGGTGTGTGCAATAACGGGGTGTGTGCAATAACAGGGTGTGTGCAATAACGGGGTGTGTGCAATAACAGGGTGTGTGCAATAACAGGGTGTGTGCAATAACGGGGTGTGTGCAATAACAGGGTGTGTGCAATAACAGGGTGTGTGCAATAACGGGGTGTGTGCAATAACAGGGTGTGTGCAATAACGGGGTGTGTGCAATAACGGGGTGTGTGCAATAACGGTGGATTGAGAATGTGTGACTGGCTGTAATCTGTCTAACCCTAACTCTTTGAAATTGAAGAAGATGACAAAGTCTGGGATCGTGGCACAGACAGAAGACATGTTTTATTGTCGATGGTAGAGACGAGACACAGATACAGATGTCCCAGAATGCTAGTGATGTCACATCATAGACCGTCCAATCAGCAGCTGCCACGAAGCCAGAGGCTTCAGACAAACCAGAACATTCCACACATGTAAAAATGTGTCATGAAACATCCAGAACATTCTTGTTTATAATGTCTGTTTCAAATGGAACAGGTTTCAGGAACTACACAGATGTTATTTCATACAGTTCCAAAAGTCAAACAATAGAAATGAGGAAATGGAAGGTTGTCGTTTCCAGTGATTAAGAGCTTTTCTTATTAGAAAAACATGATTTGCTTTGGGTTCCGTTGGATAATTATACCATTTATAGAAAGGCAATTCATTAATAGGCCTTTTGTATGTTTAAGGCTGAGAAGGCTGTTTTAATGAGACAAAGTGTAAAGAAGCTCGTAGTACTTGTATGTCTTACATGTTTGGCAGACTTCATCTAAAGTGACATGTCTCTGGAGAAGTAAGTCCTGTGTGTTTGCCAAGGCCCGCTCTGCTCATGTCTGTGTTCTTTCATTCACATTTGTATTGTCCAGTCCTTTCCCGATCAATAATTAAAAGAACCTTTTAAGCTTTAGTGGAACATTGGGTTTGTACTGAATATTAGAAAAAGGCCATATTGGGTGCACAGACCATCATACCTTGGCTCACACCTGAGACATGTCCCACCATCACTTGTCTCCTTTGACATATTGTAATTAGGCCTTATTTCTCCCCCTGGTGGTAGTATAGGACATTACAAACCTGTTTCTCCTTCTTCAGCCCCCACACTACGTCTACAGATATGATTTCAGAAAAGGTTGTATTTCCGTCATCTTGTCTGTGTTAAACCGTTATAATCTGTGTGTTAGTTCTTCCTTGAGCAGCTGCTGTGACTTATCGCTCTCCAGTCTGAGGAACCGAGCCTCAGGTTTATAGTTACTTTATCACCCTCCATTAGCACCAGTGTCCGGCGCTACAGCCATGTCACTGCCTGATCAATACCATGTGGGAGGCTTTCTCTCTCCGCCTCACATTGTGTCCATAAAGCGGTGGCGTAGGGCGTTAGAACAGCGACTAAATGCAGTAAATATTTAGGAGCTCCAGATGAGCCCTTGACTTTGCCACCTGCTGCCTCTGTGCTTACAACGGCAATTTGAATCTGGATATAACTCGTCCAATTAACGCCTGGTATTGCTGCTCCGCGGGTTGATTTTGCCAAAATAATGTTGTAAATTACTGTCACAGCGCTGTGGAATTATTTTAATATTTTTAGAGTAAAATGTTATTTCTTCCCACTCCACAAAATGTGAATAATAAATGGAATAAACAAGGACAGGTCTTGAATATAACTGTAGTCATTAGATCTATAAGTGTTTAGAGGACGGACTGAAGAGGGTTGAAATAATAAGCAGTTTGTACTTTCTTACTTTCTCCTGTGTGGAATTAAATATGTAGATTTGTGTTTTCTATGTATTTGAGCAGTATTAATGCTGCACTGAAGGAGTGGGCTGAAGCAGCTCATGAGCACAGCCCCAAAAGATGCTTCTAATATTTGCATAAAATCTAATTTGTTTGAAACCTGCTCATTCTCCAGAATCAGATTTTTACTCTAAGTGTGTGATCTGTTGTCGTGGTCGATCCAGAATCCTCCCAACAACAGCCTCCAGGATTTTCTTTCCTTCATTGACGGAGCAGTAAAACCTCGGGCAGAATCAGATCTTTATGTGCTGAAGTTTGTCAATGAACCAAGTTAGTCGATGAAGGTGTCATGGTGCAGCGGTGTGAGAGAAACCATTTAAACCGAGCCTGGAGGTGGAGAACGCTCTCCCAGTCTTCCTCATCTGTTCAGACTGAGACTGGGTCAGACTCTGAAAGGCCTGACCCAGGTTCAAACACATTGAAAATTCACTGTCCGTTTATTTAAGCAAGACATATCACAGTCTGGTTCAGGATCAGGGGCGCAGCAGAGGTTGTCATCAGCAGGAGCGATGCTAATCTTAATCTGCTCTGAGGAAGTATTAAGCCGTGGCCAGGCTCGCTGCGTTTGTAAAGTGACCCAAAAATCCATAGCGGCAAAGTCACGGGGATGACAGGGCCTTTGTGGAGTCGCGGAGCAGAAGAATCCTGTGACAATGATGCTCCACTTCTTCCTGTGAGTGCTAATGACGCAACATTAGCATATTCTGTTAAGTGTTTATTCCGTTTGAAGACTTGACCTCGTCTAGTTCTGAAAAGCAGCACTTGTGTGTGAATGTTTGGTGAACCAATGAATCAGACCTGTGCTTAGACTCCAGGGTCGTCTCACTTCTGAATTTGAAAAGATAAATGCAAATTCACTTTTTAACATGTTTGATTGACTTTGACCTGTTTTCTTTCTTCTCAAACATAAGTAGAAATCAACAATGTCACCCATATTTCCAGTTAAATCTAACAAATATCAGTCACAAACTTGCAGTTGTTGTAGATCCATTAAAA